TTCAATGGGGGCTGAATGGCCCATGTACATGGAGGTTTTTAATACATGACTTGCGCGCGCGCGGAGGGGATCATTTTGCCTAGTTTGCGAGCGTGTATTATTATTCCTACGTGCTCTCGCGCGCGCGCCAGGGCTTGCTTTTCCTACTCTTCGAGTTTTTTTGTTCAGCGCGCTTGCGCGGAGGCCACTCATTACTATGCTCCATGTATCGCTCATGTATGTGAATGGGTATGGTTGGCATCCAATGTTGGCGGTCATGAAGGGCAAGTCGTTCATTCCCTCGCGTTGCCCGCGTTGGCAATCGCGCCGTCCATCCACGATCGTTCATGCGGGCGGGCGTTCTGGCATATTGCGCGTGGGGCGGCGAAGTGGAGTGCAAGTGTGCCTTGATTGTGCGATTTATGGTCGCGTGTGTTCCCAAACGATGACTTGTCGACCCCCAAGACAGATTTGGAATGGGTCCCGCGATTCTCCCAACATGTGAATTCACATTTCCCTTTTTCCAAACTGTGAATTCACACTCTGGCCCCATCATAAATATTCCGACACCAAATTCCAATCTGTGAAATCAGATTTGTGTTTTTTGTCTTGTTCTCTCTCTCTCTCTCTCTTGTTCTTTCTTTATTTCTCTCTCTCTCTCTCTCCGTTTCTCTCCAACATGTGGTTAAACATTTTCCTTTTTTTCTTAGAGTGTGAATTTACATGTTGCTGTTCCCCACAATGTGAATTCACGTTTTTCCCTGGCCTTCAAGATCCCCAAAACTGAGACGCAATTGTCCGCTTGTCGGACTGGCTTGGCAGATTTTGACCCTCACCTCGCCGCTTTCGTTTACTTCATTTTTTTGCGCCCTCAGCGAATGTTGCCTTCGTCGCGTTTCCCGAGCCCCCCGCACCCCTTGCTTCGTTTACCCGCAAGTATCGCGCATGGGTGCAGGCGGGGAACTTCAATTGGTTCCCCCGCCGAACACAGCAAACGATGATGTATCGCTTATGCATGGCCCATGAACACACCATTGCCAAGACCCTGCGCCGGACCCCCTGTTCACCCTCCAAAGGTAGGTTGCGGAGAGCGGAATGCGGGGATGGAGGTGTCGAAGAACAAAAGCGGCACCCGATCCGCGCAGATTTCCTGGGTCGGCGCTGAGCTTCCCCTGGCAGCTGCTCTGGCGAGGGGGGCCAGCGCCGACCCTAGAGGTCTTCGCAGACCTCTGAGAGTTAGTGCTTGTGTTCTTGGGGGGTCCTCCACGGGACGGGGGCAGGGACAGACAGAGGCACGCCGTCTTCCATTGCTTGTTTTTTTTGCCTTCGCCTTGTTCCTTTTCGGCCACGTGCCCATTATTCCTCATCTCCCTCACTCCTCCTTTGTCTCGGTCACTCTTTTTTCCCATCCGTTGGGCAGCGGCCCGCGCTGAACACTGTAGGACCGTGCCAGAGGGGAAATTGACAAGGATATGGAGGTGGCGATGCACAAGAGGCGTGAGGGAGAGGGGAGTGGAGTGGAGTGGAGTGAAGTGGATGGGAAGGGGGGGGAGGGGGGAGGGGGAAACATAGGCAGTCCTAGCCCGGTCTGCTTCGCGCTGGCCTTTCCAGCGGCCCTCACCACGCCGCCAGCCGCCTGCGCAGCGCCGCGCGCCCACTCACCTCGCTGTCCCTGGCCCGCAACGCCGGAGGAGCGCCGCAACGCGGAGCGACAGCGTGCTGGCCCATCCTGGGCATGGCCGGGCAGCTGGCGCGTGCCAGTGCGGGCGCATGCGCTGCCGCAGCAGAGGCAAGCGACCCAGCCAGGGCCTCGCGACGCCGCGTGCGGCTCCCACGCCCCTCCCCCGAAGAGGGCGCGGGCGGCCTCGGCAGCTCCGCGCCGTGGGAGGCCCGGGCTGGACCGCTCGCGGAGGCGCGCCGCCGGGGCCGCTGCGGCTGCCGAGTCCGCCGCAGGCGCCCGGTGCGGCTGCGCCCGCTGCCGGCTGTGCTGCGCGGCCCGCGCCGCTCGTGGAGCCCCAGTCCAGCGTGATGGTGTTCCATTTTGCTTCAGCCTTGATCGCCACGAAGGGTTTCTTGAGCATCAAGGAAGTGCTGAAACTTGCGGGTTTTCACATGTCGGGCCCTGGGCACTCGTTCGACGCCGTCTCGAATCTCTCCTGAGCGCTCGGCATGATTCCTGGGACGTGGTCCCAGAGTGCGATGGGGGCCACATGAATCTCTCCTTGGCCCGCGGCGCGGCCACCTCCACGGCCGCCAGCAGCCGCCGCAGAGAGCGCGCAGCGCACGCCGGCTGCAGTCGCCGCCCGACGCAGAGCGCAAGCTCGGGCGAGCCAGCGCGCGCAGCGGCGCCCGCCGGCCCGTCTGCAGTCTCGCCGCCAGCGCGGCCTTCCAGCGCGGTGCCGCGGCCCGCCGCCGTGGCGGCGCCGAGGAGCCCCTCGACCCCTCGGGGCGCGGTGACGCCGCGCTGGCAGCTCGGCCTGAGCAGTCCCCGCAGCAGCCCCGCGCGTCCGCTCGGCGGGCA